CCTCCGCCCCTATACCTTCCCTATTGTCCTCGACCCGCCCCCCCCCCCAGAAGCATACTGTTTAGGCATGACATGTGGTCGTTTGCCTCGACGAAGAGCAAAAGGAAGGCTCAGGCGGGGAGATACTGGCGGCAGGTGTGCGGACGTTAGCAGTATGTTCTGTAGTGGGCACCGTATCCGAGGGAGAGGGAGCTAGGGGAGCAGATGGTGTATGAGAAGGCTCGGGTGAGGGAGATTCAACAAAAGGAGATGGAGAGATGTCAGGAAGATCTTGAAAGGAGAACGGAAGTAAGGAAGTGTGTAATGCAGCTAGCAGTGAAGAATGATCAGTAGTGTGGAAGAAATTAAAGTTATTAGAACCAGAATAATATAGAAAATCCTCTTTAACTGAACGTGTCTAGATATATGAACCCGATGAGATGCAGGACCATAACAATGATAACCGCGACATTCTGGACTAATTCCTAAATAAACGCAAGGAACAGCTCTGGGAGATAATTTATCACGTTTGTGAGATGGCAGAAAAATAAAATATCGACAACCAAAAACGCGAGTCAGATCATAGCAAGGAGTATGAGTATATACGTGACTATGAGGATTAGCATCATAAAGAGAGCTAGATGGAGTGATATTAATGTCGTGAACAGTGGTGATAATGGCCTCAGTCCAGAAACAATGAGGAACAGAGTAAGAAATGAGCATGGATCGAGCGGTATCGAGGATATGGCGATGTTTGCATTCAGCAATACTATTTTGCTCATGAGTGTAGGGACATAACTAATGAAAGATAGTCACATGAGAGGTCATGATAGAGCGCATGGTAAAGGATAAATAGTCTTTAGCACAGTCAGATCAAAAAACTTTAATACGAGCTTTCCATTGAGTGAAGATCATGGCAGCGAAGAATTGATATGCAGCAGGTATCTCAGAGCAATTTTTAGGTAAATAGACCCATGTATAACAAGAGAAATCATCGATAAAACTAACATAGTATAAATAGCCAGATGAAGAAGGTAGAGGAGCTAGCCCCAAAATATCAAAATGGACTAAATCAAATAAGGAAGTGGAGACAGATGTACTGGTTAGAAATGGTAGAGCAGTAAAGTTAGCCAATTTACAACCAGTACATGACTCAATACGAGAACTAAGTGACACAGTACCAAGTACTCCGGACTGGATAAGACTCTCCAGTCTTTTATTGAACACATGCATGACCTAGTCGTCTATGCCACAAATTGGCAGGAAGTGAGGTAGAAGGTTTTGATGGATAAACAGAAGAAACAAGAGAATGTGGACGTATGGACTCTGAAAGGTGAAGATATTCCAAAAAATACAGCTTGTGCCTCCTACGACCAGCCCTAACAGTCTTGCTCGTCTGTGGATCATGCACAAGATAAATATCAGAAGAAAATAAGACAAGTATGTCAGACATACATAAAGAACTAATAGAAATTAAATTTAAGCATAACTGAGGAGCCACATAGATAGAGTCAAGTATTAGAAGATCAGATGGGTCATTTTGTTGGGTGATAGAGCTATATTGAGTTATAGGCCAGCAGCCGTGTAGATAGTGGAAAGAGAAGATGAAGTGAAGATAGAGGATAAGAGTGAGGCATTACGAGTCATATGAAAAGAACAACCAGAGTCAAAAATTCAGAGATCATTCATACCAGAGACTTGTACAATTGATGAGTCAGCAAGGCCAGACAGTGATGTAGAAGTCGTATGCTGAAGAGCATCAAGTTGACGGCGAAGATTTTTAATAGCTTGAATAGTAGTGTCAGAAGTGGTAGATGATATAGCATTGGCCAGCAATCCTAGTGTGCAAGAGGGTTGAGATTGAGGGGGTAGCCGACCACGACCAGTACCTAAGAAACGTAACTCAGGATGAACTTGAAACATTTCTCAATGCGGTGTCCCTCATTCTTATAATATGTGCAAAAGAGCTTAGATCGAGCCTGTTGAGAAGTATGATTCATAATAGGAGCAGCGACTAGTACTGACAGAACAGTCTCGAGTGAAGTGGCAGGAGCATCTGTTGCTAAATTGAGTCGTACGGTCTGCTTCAATGTCTCATAAGCAGTGAGAGATCTCATAACTAAGGCCAAGGTCAGAAATTGAGGCCGATGAAGTAGTTGGTCAGCCATAGTTGAATATTCAGGAAGGGACTGAAACAGTTAATGCACCTCGCGCCGTTCATACTAAGCTAGCTAGTCTTCATATGTGGAATCACGTCCAGGAAGCATGGAGCATAATTCTGTCCAAGAGGCTTGCATTTGACCAAAATGAGATTGCAGAGAGGAATTATCTTTGCGCTGTATAGCAACATGTTGCAGAAAAATATGTCTTTCGTGTACCGAAGCACTCTGTGAAGCGCTCAGTGAGATGACTCCACATGGCCCAAGCAGAGGGAAGCGAGCCAATCTCGACAGTGAGACCAGAGCCAGCACAGCGAGTGAGATAATCCATAACACAAAATTTCTGCAACTGCCAATCCGAATTCTCCTTGACATAGAGAGCACGTGCGGTTTGAAGATCGATATCACCACTGCTAGATGTAACAGTACTGGAGGAAGCAACAGCGCTGATGGACAGTGGAACTGGTCCCTAACTGGTGAGATGATCAAGCAGACCAGCACTACGCAAGGTATTTGCGATAATGGTGGACCACCCCGCCCAATCACTTTGATCATTGAGGGGTTGGGGTTATTTAGGGATCTTTTCTGAAGGAGTCATATTAACAGCAATATTGAGACATTGAGACGTTGAGACCCACGACTAATCAACGCCGATGTTGAGACGTTGAGATGGATTGAAACGGCGATGTCGTTACTAACTGTGAAACGGCGATGCCGTTTGTTTGAGGCCGAGTGACGGTTTAAAACGGTGATGCCGTTAATTGGAGACCGAGAGACGGTCTTGAAACAGTGATGCCGTTAATTTGAGACCAAGAGACGATCTTGAAACCGCGATGTTGTTACTGAATGTGAAGCGGTGATGCTGTTCGTGTGAGATATATATATATATATATATATATATATATATATATATATATATATATATATATATATATACAAGTATAGGAGGGTGATGTGTGCTCTCATGTGGGACTAAACCTACTACTAACACATACAATTATATCAACATAGATAAACTAATAATGCACGAAGCAGAGAGAGTGTGTGTGTTTGCTACTTGTACCTTCTCATCCTGCTAGATTCTTCTTCGACTCGGATAGTGTAACTCCTTGAATCGAATATTTGGAAGCAAAGCATTTAATGATGAAGCAGGTGTTTTGTGATGTGCAGAGCGGTATAAATATTAAATTTTAAAGTTTAATGAGAAAGGATTCATTGACATGGTGTATGCGTCTGACACTCTACTTTATGTACACACATGTGCATATTCTGTTGAGTATAAAAGAACTGTGATACATTTGTCCCATCGGTAGAAAAATTTAGGTTAAACAGGTTTAAATACGGCATTCTTTGCTCTCGAATTTATCTATGTGAGCTTAGGTGAAGCAATATGGAGTTCGATCTGATCCGAATCTTTCCGTCTTTTCAAATTGAAGATGCAGGGAAAGCGTGGTGCAAGCTCACTAAGCAACGATTTGAGTTATATGTCGAAGTGGCTGATATTCATGGTGGCTCATTGTTATCATATGCTAGGACTTGCTGGAGTATAAATTTATAACGCTTAAATCCCTCAAGAAAGTTTCTGGATTCTACTGCATTGACTGTCTTTAGGTTGGTACTAGAGCAAGCTAGGTTCAGATCCTATGGGCACACATAAAATATGTGCATTCAAAAAAGATACCGTTGCAAAAAAAAACTCAGTTTTGACGTAGTACAGTTTCTTTGTCATCTTGATGTTATTCAGTATCTTTAAGAGGACCAATTAGACTTTTCAAGGCTGTAATATCTTCTTTAGCGCTTGTTTGGATAGACCTAATAATATTGTTGGATTTTGATATTTAGATCCATTTTTTTCTGATGGTTTTTTCGGATGTTTAACCAAAATTCTAAGCATTTTAATCTTATACATAGTCTAATCCTTAAATTAAGTGAGGTCTTGTCCTCTAAAAAAATGCAATCTATCTTTAACAGAGAACCAATTTTCAGGTAAAAAGTAATTAATGAATTTTGTTTGAATTGATGTGGCATTCAAAAAAAAACCCTGGGTGTAATTCAAAAGAACTCTACATTTGAATTACTTTGGCAAAAAAAAAAAAAAAAAAAATTCTACACCTGAAAAAGAAAAAGTACAATCTAAAGGAGATCTATTTATAAATTTGATTCCAAGGTTTTTTTACTCAAACCATCAGAACAAGCCCGTAGGGGGATTCTTTCTTTTTCAGAACAATATATGGGACTTTCTTGATTGTTATGAAGGAAGTCCCATATATACTAAATAAATGTTGCACTGATCCGTGCCTTACAACAATCAAGCCTGAGCAGGTGAAGTTCCATTTATTTCCCTCAAGGGCAGCTAAAGAGCATGTATAGCTAATACTTATTTTGGTTAATGTGAGGTGGGGAAAATTAGGAGACTCGTTAGCCTTATTCGGAAAAAACATTTTATGATAGGATAGTAGGGGAGGGGGAGAGTTAAGGTAGCTGATGTGAGAAAATCATTATAATTACGTATTACATATTTTTACTTATTTTGGTGGAGCATGAAACAGACTTTTAACATAAATAACTATACCTCTCATCTCCTTGTAAGTAAAAACATATGGTAAGTGAAAATAGGAGGAGCTTGCGCAACATACTCGAAGAGATGTTAGAACAGCTCAGAGCATATCCGTGACACAAATCTCCTTCAAACACTAAAGGCGCTGCTTTCGTATATGCATATATGTAACAATATGCAGGTTTCTGACACTAGTAAAATTTCACTGCAAACATGAAAACAGGGTTAAGTGCAATTTTGCAAAAGCTTGGGCTTTTAAATCTTGACAAAAATACTATGCTATATCATGCTAGCTCAAGTAAAAATTTAAAGAAACATACAGAAAAAATTTACCTAGCTTGACCGCTAGAATGATTATATGTGGTACAAGGTTTCAGGAAATTGAGAAATATACGAGATCTCAAGGCTCGCTGGCCTTGCATGAACTTCAAAGCCGAAACAAATACAGTCATCTTTCTGCCTCTCAACTATGTTACAGACTTGCATACTCAAAATCGCTTACTTTATACTACTATATAATAAAGAAGGAAAAAAATTCAAACTCTTCTGAACCAAGACTATCAATAGGCGAGTGCAGGAATTTTCCTTCTGAACCTAGATCAGATACTCAATTTCCGCGATATACTGACAGCATCGACGTGCTGGAGATGCAATGCAGCTAAGTGCTGGAGATGCAATGCAGCTAAGAGTCCACACCAGGTATCTCCGGGACCACCAGACACCGGGAAGTCAAGAAGTTTCTTCTGCTTCCTATAATATTCCTCTAACAACTTGCTCTGCAAAAATCATCAAGAAAATGTGTGACAACCAGTTTAAATTTAAAATATCAATATGACCTATAATTTTTTTTCGCTTCCTATGCACTCAAAAGGAAACACTTAAAAAATCGATAGTGTTAAGGGATTGGGAAAATTAACTACGCCGAAACAATGAAAAGAAACAAAATTTCCATTTTAGTAAAGCTCACAAGTGCTCTCCACAAGTTTGCAAAAAAGAACCTGAGGACATAATCCAGTGAAAGGTGCCAAGAAGCATAGAATTAGGCTGCATGGCATAATAATAAAATATTGAGAGAAAACCACAATTTAGTCATTTGTCATTAATAGGCAACATAACCTCTTCCCAATAACAAGTTTTTTTTATTCTCAATAACATTTTAATAATTTGTCAATTACAAGTAGGCTATCTGATGAGAAAAGTCTAGACTTTATAAGAGGGAGACCCTAAAGCTACATTTTCTTTCCTTAATATTATTGTAAAAGACAACATGAAAAAGCATGGATCTTAAAATGTAGTACAGTTTCATCAAAATGATTAGATATATAACAAAGAAGATCGGTCACGTGCATGCTTATTATATCATAGCTTCTCTGCTATAATTGACTTCCTTAACTTCTGTACTTTTTCAGGAAAAAAAGATTTAGGTTCCTATCAATCCTGGTCTAAGAAAATATAGCAAGGAGCTTAAATCAAAATTAACATTGTTCGTTTTACTTGCCAAATATATGATACATAAGAACCATGCAGCATTTAAGAAAAATAAGAAACAAAATAATGTGTGCACAAACCATATCAACTTTAAATTAAAAAAAGAAAAATCTGAAAGTTGTCTGTTCATGCTTCTTAGCCAGAAAGTAATACAGAAAATTACAAACAGTGTGTTGATTAATTTGCATTCAAGAGAATGCAAAGAATTCACAAAAGTTCTAGAAACATGTTTGACTAGATACTCTTCTACATCAAGTCAAAAACATTGCAACTATTGACTGATAGACCTTCTCTTCTTTAGAAGTTTGTCTACTAGGTGCCACATAAGTGATCTACTGGAAAATTGACTAAGGAACACCAACAACAAGGTGATCAGAAGTTTAAAGATAGATACAATAGAAAAGACCACAAGAACTTACTGAGTAAAACAATGTGCTTTACAGACCAAATGGCACTTAGAGGTTATTTGGTTCGTGGATTGCACGATCAAGGGTTTTGATGCATCACGCATGTAGGGAAGTTTGAAAACCCCATACTCAGAATCTCATTTGTCCGCAATGGATATTAAAGAGGATTTGCATGAATGATAAAATCCAACACTTTGTTTTGTTGCATATGAATTTTCCCGGCTGAAGTCATTGTAACTTTTGGAAATCACAGTTGATGCATCTATCCTACGTGGATACCCCAAATCTCCGGTATGAACAATGCCAACCAATCAGTTTGTATTTGATAACAGTCGAGGATTTCAAATGCAAAGTTGCAAATTCCCCACCAAACGCATGAAAATAAACAGGCCCTTAGCAGCATGACAGCACCTTAAATCAGAAAAACAAAAGGTTCATGCATTTAACTCACCTGCTCAGCATATGCATGGAATTTCCCCATATGACTTCCCTCTTTGTCTATAGCAGCAGAAGATTTCAGTGGAGAATGGCGAGACCTTGTCGCCAAACAAGGATTGATGCTAGTAGATTCTGAATTGCTTGCATCAAAAGATTTACCACAGTGCGAACAGATTTGGCTTCCGAAGTCTTTCTTAACCAAAGAGTCCTCAACACACTTGAAATTTACTACCAAGTCAATATCTGCAATCTGGTTGAGGATTTCCTGTAGGCAGACAAAATGAACAAACAACACAGCATGATTTATGATGTTTTGCTCAAAATGCAAGAAGCCATCAGATTATAATAGAATTAAAAATTAAATATATTCATAAAATTCCCATAATGATTTACATTTCTAGGGAATGAGCAATAAAGTGGCCTATCAATATCAAGAAACTTGAACCATGCAGAAACCTGGCTTTGTTTTGTTCAATGCTATAGAAATGCAGCTAGTAGACAGAAAACAGAAAGCAAAAAGAAATAGCAAGGTTAGACAAATTCTTTCGGAGGCCTGAAACAGAGAAGATGGAGAAAATATTTTTTTAATTGTTCTATTTCATTCGTAGTGTCAGTAGACAACCACGGATATCAGCTTTTAAATGACATTTTTTCTAATTGTTCTGTTTCATTCTTAGTGTCAGTAAACAACCAAGGGATATCAGCTTTTGACTGACTTTTTTCTAGATTCTCCCCTCTTCTTTGAAGAAAAAACATACTGCATTCTGAGTATTGACCAACTAGTACACCAGTTGAAATCAACGAACTAAGTAATAGACTCCTGCCATTTTCCTAATTTCAAATTCCACCCTTGTAATCATTTGATCTTAGCATACCAATACATCTCCATATTGGATAGGCATCAGTCTAGTCTAAAAGAACATAACAGATATCATTTTCACAAATGTCAACTTACTGCTTGGACTTGGGTTCTTGGGATTCCATCGAGAATAAATCCAGTTTCACCTCTGTCATATCCTTCCTCTAGCCTTTTTGACAGCAAACCGAATATGATATCTTCCGGAACTAGCTTTCCTTCATTTACTGCATTGGCGATCTGAGGGAAAGTGAAAAAAAAATGTTAAATTCACTGAATAAAAAAGAATCGATCTTTTGCTTTCTTACAAACTATATAAACTTTAAGGCTAAATTACTTAAAACTAACAAATTTTTCTCACTTTCCTTCTAAACTATCAAAAACTTCCTAATTTCAAAACGTTGCCATAAATTTTCCCAGAACCTTTAGTGGAACTGCCTCATTATAGATAGTTTCTAAATGAAACTATCCTTGTGTGATGATAATATGAAATTTTTGGAAGGAAAGAAGGATGATAATATGCATTTTCAGGGACGGAGGTGTTGGCCTCATGCTTATAAGCCTACTCCCTAATCTTGTTTTGATGATTACAAACAATTCCTAACATCGTTTGTCTAGTGGTGATTGTATTTGTTTAATAGGTATTCTAGACAAACATCGATGTCGGAGGTTGGTTGGATTGAGCCTACACGAGCACATCAAAAGGAGGTTAGCGGAGTAGTGAGTGAAGCAACACAATTCAAGTCAAATATCCAACATCAAGCTTCATCCACAAAGTTTACCAAGACGAGTTTAATTGATGATCAAGACAGCTTGGGTAAATTAGTTTAGGGTTTATACTTGTGTTAATATTTTGAGCTCAATATCACACATACACGCAATTTTTGATTTTGAGTAATTTTGATAAAATATTGAGTTATTGGTTTTTGGACTTAACAATCATTATATACATCTTTGATTTTGAGTAATTTTGATAAAATATTGAGTTATTGGTTTTTGGACTTAACAATCATTATATACATCTTTTATTAAGTCGATAAAATATTGAGTTATTGGTTTTTGGACTTAACAATCATTATATACATCTTTTATTAAGTCTATAAATTAATTTTATAAGGCTTCAAAACATTGTTTAACTTAAAAGTCAAAACTCAAGAAGTTTATATACACATGTATTTACAAGTTTTGCAAAATAGTAAGATTTCACAAATACGAACTGATATATCAAAACTTCCTTCTTTAACATGTTTGTTTTCATGTTTATAAATATTTCCCAAAGTTTTATTAATTTTGGAATTAAATTGTTATGTTTAATTGAATTTACAAAATTAAATTTTAAATAAGTCCATGTTCGTGCACATGTTCGTGCATGTTTTTGCAAAACAGATGAGTTTTCACAAATGGAAAATACAATTTGAAATTTTCTTTTTCTAACATGTTCTATTACATGTTTATAACCATTTCCAAAATTTTATCATTTTTGGAGTTGATTTACTGTGTCAATTTGATTTTACAAAATCAAGTGTTTTAGTAATTTTCAAAATTTGGAATATCTATATTAAAATATTTATTTCTCACAAATGAGAAGTGATATTTCAGAAATTCTTTCTCTAACATGTTCATCTACATGTCTACAAATGAGAAGTGATATGTTGAGTTTGGAAAATGAAAAATTAACCTCGTCTATTGCTAGCCTATCTCATGCTAAGATTGATAGAGGTAGAAACAATAGGAATGAATTTAATTCATTTAAGAATGATCAAGCTCTTTCTAATTCTAGTGTTAATGCATATGTGCCTAATGATGAGTTAAATCATATTAAGGACCACATATCTTCCTTAGATTCAACATTAAAAACATGCATTGCAAATAATGATAAGCTTGTAGACTTGTGTGCAAAGTCATGTGTTAATACTTTCAAATCACACACTCAGTATGCACACATGTATAGCAAGATTTACAAATGTTCTATTTGCGGCCGAAAAGACCACCTTGTTAAATTTTGCTATGATGCACGTAAACCCACAAAATTTAATATTCCTAGTGCATCCCATCAAGCTTCATCATCATGTACACATACACATTCACATGCTCATACTCTCAAAGTTCATCACAAGCATGCTAATGTGTATCAATGTGATTATTGTGGTAGATTTGATCATTTGGCCAAATTTTGTTTTGATTTGAAAAAAAATTCTCATTTGCAAAATAATTTTAATAGACTATCTTCATTTGCAAATATTCATCGTGCACTATCTCTAATGGTCATCATTCACAAATGTACCATTTTTATTGCACATATTACAATCGAAAATGTCATTTGCATAATTATTGTTATGACCGTGATCGTGCACCACATGCGTCCAAATGGGTTCATAACCCTAGGGCTTTAAGCTTAAATGATAGGGGTCATATCCCTAAATTTTTCGACACCAAGAATGCTTGGATGCCAAAATCTTTTTTATCTTTAAACCAAGATTTTTAGCTTTTTTCTTGATTTTAAAAAACATGTGTTTGAATTTTTTGAAAAAAAACATATTTTATGTCAAGACTTTTGTTTTTCATCCTATTGACTTTGATTTTGATGAGAGGTTTGTGTTGAGCAACCCTCCGAGTTTATTGATCATTTATTTTCAAATCATGTTTATCGGGTGCTAAAATTTTATATGGGTTGGAACAAGCTCAAGAACTTGATATGGTTGTCTCTCTTGCTTTCTTGTCAATTGATATTGGTTTGCTTTATCCTAAGTATAATTCCTTTAACTTGTATGGATAAAACATATAAATGTTTTGAGATTACTAGTTGCTTGATCACTTGTTCTTCAAAAATAATGATTTGTTGATTAAGCATGTTTTTATGTTATTATGGTTTAGATTTTGATTTATGATTTTATTTGATTGATTTGTTTCTCATTTGGAACTTTATGATTGCCATGATTCTCATGGTTCTCAAAATTCGTTTTTATTTGAAAATATTTTTTTCATGATTCTCATTATTTGTTTTCATTTGAAAATATTTTTCATGTTTTTCATTCTTTTAATTTCATAAATCTATATATGTTTGTGTATTGAGACACCATTTTCATAAATAAATATATATATATATATATATATATATATATATTTTTCAGAATTTATAAATTTTTGGATTCATTGCTTAATCATTCAAGGAGATAACGGGTGATTTCATGGTAATAATTTCATATAACTTAGCCAAACTTGACAAGAGAGATGTCTTATATGTATAAAGATTACTTTGCAGTCCACCCAGAGTATAATTTTCACAACAAAAAAATGTTATTTTGCAAAGGTATTGACTGCAATTTCAAAGAATAAGAACCCAGGAATAATCTCTGACATTATAGAATAGAAACCAGGCCAGTAAATATGAGCACGTGATCCACATGTAATCTTGTGACTCGGAAAGCGACCCAAACCCTAGTTTCTAAAAAATTACTGAAATG